ATACTACAATTTGTAAAAAAATATACTGATGCTCGTCTTACATTCCAGTAGTCTGAGTATGGTTTATTTTAGAGCCAAATTTCAAAGTTAAATTAGTAGATTAGGCATGTGCAAGCACTGAGAACAGTGCTAATCAGCTTGAAGTCAAAGTATCGAATGTTATACTTTACAGTCTTTCTTAATTACTGATCCAACAGTTTTTGGCAGAACAGTTTTTTATCTTTTATTTTCAGGATTTTGTGAATAATTAAAAAGTGCACAAACTGCATCTCTATAAAAATAGTACAAGGGCCTAATACCTAACTTCTTTTATCAAAATAAAATGTATGGGAAATTCTGTTACTTTCTGAGCAGTAATTATTAACAAATGGTGATAAATATTTAAGCCATGTTTCTTCATATTAATAATTTATCTTTTCAATTTAAAATCCTTTGGAGATTAAGCAGTAATGCCAAGTGGTAAGTGTTGCTATATTGTGAAGTCATTCCCACATTATTGTGTGATAATCTCTCAGAAAATACCAAGAGTTATTTCTTCTGTGGAATATCCAGCCAGTGTTTCCTTACCGTGCAGTGTGGCTGCCTACCTTACAGTTCTATGCTTATTTCAGCTTTATGACAGAATGCAAATGAAGCAAAAAAAGGCACAAGTAATATTTGAACTTTTTCTTCAAATTCACATAAAAGAATTTGCTATAAGTTCCTAAGGTTTACATTGCATGAACTTGCTTGCTTGCTGTTTATTGTTGAGACCTTCTTTCAAATGAAGTTTTGGTATTACCAGACTTATCTGCTGGTAATAAAAAGTTACCAAATTGTTGCCTAACAATTCAGTTTTACCTAGACTTGAGGGAAGTATCTGTATTAATCATTAAATTCTGTGCTGTCACATGGAATGTGTACAACTCAGTATTTAATCTGGATTTTGTCCCAGTGCTAGCAAGTTTTTGTAAGTAGTTTTTGAAGTGTAGAAACCCATTCGAGATCTCATTATTAACTCTTAAATGTTTTAAAATAAAGTCAGTGATTCAATTAGACTACCAGAATGTAAAGGTACAGAAGTCAAATATAGCCCTCTAACAAAAGGGAATACAGTCTTAAAATACCTTATTTTCAATTCAATATATGAATCAGTATTAAAATTATGTTAAATGTAAATATACAGAACCGAGGTGATTCAAGAGCTTAATGCATCTATACAGGTACTAGGTGGATCTCATGGTAGATCTTTAATATGAGTCTCTTATTTTCTTTTAAATTTTGTAATTTTGTTATATGTATTATGTATACAAGTTAAAGCCATTCTAGAAAATTTTCCATTCTTTGACTTAGTGCAGCACAAGGAGTGAGAATGTAAATGTTTTTATTGCGTAAATTTTATGAGATTTGTCATTTCTTTAGGGTCAGACATATCTCTGGGTGTTAGAAAAATTTTGACAGAAAATCAAAAAAATAGATACTGGAGCAGAGTAAAAAAGACTGATTTTTTTTCCTAATATGAAATCTGGATGAACTAAGATTGATTTGATTAATAGTAGCAATGATAAAATTGTGGTACATTAAGAACTCAATCCAGTAGAAACACACAGTATTAATGTCAGTGTGTAAGTCTGAGAATACAGGCTATACATTTCTTTGTGTTTGTAGAATGCCATGCTTTATACTTACATACAGAAGTTTATATATTTTGAACAGCTTTATTTTAAGTATTTTTAAACAAACACATTACTCAAAGCCACGTAGGTTCTGCAAACAAATTAGTAGGACAAAGCAGTCTTTTTCCATAATTGCCCTTCCCAAAAGCTGGTTATACACATACATGTAGTTCCCATTTACATGTTCGCCATGCTACATGGATTTTCTTGACACAGTGCTTTGAAAGTACAAGTTGGTTAAGCCCAAATATTGCAAGTCTGTGCTTAAAAGAAAACATACGTCTGTAACAGTGAGCACAAAGTAAGATATAGAATGGATACCCAGCCCAGCCTGCACAACAGGGTTGCTACCATGTTGTTAGAATAATTACATTTTGGCTGAACTAACTAATTTAGAAAAACTGCAGTACATCTAGCAAGACTGAAAACTTTCCAGGACTGGGCTGGAGTTGGTGTTTTTTATTTTTTAGTGTAATTTAAAACAATACCTCTTCTAACTGCCAACAGACTCTTTC